AGTTCAATTCTTCTGAAAGGTTGTGGTTCAAAGCAGGTCCCAGGCTACCTTACTCTCAGGCTGTGGTTGTGGCCAAGACACAGAAAGGGGGACACTCTCATAGCCCAGGATGACAAGACACTTGTTCTCACTTAGTGGACTGCAACTCTGCACACAGGGTCCATGTCTGTTTTCCCTCACTATGGCTTCTCCAGAGCCAAGATGATGCCTGCCACTAACAGGCGCTCAATAAATACCTGCTGAATCAGCAACTGAAGAGTGCTTAAAGGATTATCAGCAAGAGCAGAAGGATTTGAAAACTGTCTAGGGTCCCTGGTGATGGTAAAAAGAGTTTTGGGAAGAGAGAAACCCGTAACTCTACCAGTGGAGTCCCTAACCAGAGAAATACCATTTTCTTACTGTTTTCTTGATAATACTGACACTGGAGTAGCTTAGACAATCACCTTTCTCAAAGATATTGAAATCAAATAGTTAAGGCTACAAAATCATTTGGTTGATAGGTGCCACATATCACAATCAATATAGTATGCTATACTATAGTTCATAATTTTGATTCCATGAAGTGTTGTCCATCAATTCAAAAATTTGAAATTTTTATTACCAGTGTTTGTGAAACTAAGAATATTAAACTAGACAGAAACCCTCAGAAATATCAACTCCATAGTATTTAGGAGGCAATTTTTTATTCTACCTCACTTTAGAGTATGTTTATGTATTTTAGGGGTTTGGTATGGAAGATGGTGTGGACACTGTATTTTATTTATTTTGTAACCTTTCATTCTTCCCTCCTACTAAGTGGATATAAAATGCCCTGACCTCCTTCTTCTGGCATTATTTTCTCTGATAAAATCTTTAAGATGTTCCTTGTCAAGGCAGCTGTTTCTTCAAAGTGTTGACACAACAACAATCCATATATAAAATACATTTAATGTCATTCGTGTAAGTAGATTTATATAAACAGAAAATAGTTCCATATTTTCTTTGTCAAACAATCAAACAAAACAGTAGGACCTATATAATTAAGAGACAGAAGCCTTGGGGAATAAATGGTAGTGCCCTTTCTAAGTAAGACATGAGCGCCATCTGGAGAATTCATTTGAAACTACAATACAGCAACCAAAGAACCAAACTTTTTCAAGCATTAAAGTACAGTTATTGAACACGTGGGCAGCAAAGGCAGGGATGGACTATCTTCTTTCCATGGCCTGAGTGCCTATTATTTCAAACTTCCAGTAGAGGACGCCTGAGAATATTGTTATTGAGGTACTTTCACAGAATCGGGAATTGGAATCTGGACATCTGAAGAGAATTATCGCTTGTGAATAAATGCAGGCCAGAAAGCACTAGGCAAAAGGAAAACATGCAAATATGTCCTTAACTTGCTATTCCTTCTCTCCTCTCTCCCTACACTGGGTAGGGCTTCATACAGTTCCATCAGACTTTTTTTTTTTTTTTCTTTTCTCACAAGAAGATGTAAATGACTGATAGTTAGCTTTTTCAAGGGCATTCTAATTTTAATAGGTTTAAAGTATTAGTTTGCAAAGAAAAAAGGAAAAGGATAACCAGCAGAGTTTCCCATAGATATCAGTGTTAGAGGGCCCAGGTAGAGTAAGTTTACCATCTCCTTTATTAAACGTTTAATTATTCTTTTAAATAAACTAAGTCTATTCCTTACAGATTCACTTGTTTTAAAGAATGTGTTTTAAAAAGGGGCCCCTAAAAATTCTGAGTAATTAAAAACATCTGCATTTCCTATATTTCTATCTTTCTCATGAGACACTAGAGTCTCATAAGTTAACCAATGGGTTAAATAGTTAACCAATGGGTTGGAAGTTCAAGCCCACCCAGACTGGCCTTGGAAGAAAGGCTTGAATTTCCCCTTCTGAAAAATCAGCCATTGCAAATCCCAGGCAGCATAGTCCTACTCTGATACTCACGGGTTGCCATGGCTCAAAGTTGATGCAACACCAACTGGTTTGACTGGTTTTGAATGAGATACTGTTATGTTGAGAGCATATCATAGTTACCTACCTCAATGCTTCTCAAATATCTGCAGTGAAGAACTGTGTGTGTGTGTTATCTTTTAATTCCCAATCACTGGAAGGACCAATACTTGTGTAAATTAAAAATAAAACCTCTATGGCAACATCTAAAAGCTTAGTCTTGCTTTTGTACTTATCTTGGGGCACCCTGTTAACCATGTGTTCACTGGCATTGGTCTGTGGCCTGCATCTGAAGATCCACTTCTCTACCTCCTGTTCTCTCTTTTAAAAAAATACCTGGATTTGGCCTAAAAGTCTGTCCACCATTACCGTACAGTTAAATTCAAGAGCATGACTTACACCTTCCTCCCTGCTCACTCCTTCCTTCATATCTCCCCTCCAACTTTTAAAAGATTATAATCTTTGAACCCATAATGACAAAAAATGTTAATGTTCTAGATTCCATTTTCAATTGACCCTCTACTTGCAATGTGTTTGTACAACTTCCCCATTTCCTTGTTCCATTTTCCTAACTTTATTTGCCATGGATTTGGCCTAGACACCAGAAACTTGTGTATAAGACACTTACGTAGAACACAATTTCAGGTCTTTGAGGATTAACAGGAGAAATCCATCTAGGAAAACAATGTAGTTGACAAACTATATACTTTCTTGATATAAAGTGAACAGGAAAGCCTGCAGATGAGTATCTTTTTCCTGCTTACCACTTTATCACTGAAATACAAGTTGAAAGGGCTTTTTGACTGCTAAGCAATCCTGGCTTTCTGGAGTTTTCCTTTATTCATTGGTTGGAAAACAATGGACTATTTTTTTCTCTTCCCAATAACCCAAAACAAAATTCCACATCCCCATATATTCAGAAAAGTGTTCATACATTTCCATTTATAAGGCACAAAACACATGTCAATCAGAGTGAGAAAGAAAACAAAGATTTGAAGACAACAAAGTGATCTAGTAATAGAGGAGGTTCATTAAACTGGAAGTAAAACTAACCACTTCCCTTTTCAAGAAATGGGGATTATATACTGACAGGAGGCATATGCCTCTGAGAAGAAGGTATCCATAGCCCTTCTATCTCCACAATCTCCTTTGCTGGATTGGTGCAGAAATTCAGTTCTTAGTGAGGGCCATGTGGCCAGAACATATCAAACCCAAACATCGTCTACCTCATAAAAGCTGCTAGACAGAAAGTTACAGTGACAGGGTGCCCACTTCACTCATTCTGGCCCAGAGGAGCCTGCAGGGCCATCCTACAAAGCACACTAGCTCACCTGTCCTGGGGCTTAATTATTTTAAAGGTTCTTCCCTAAGCTGGGAGTCCCTGAATGGCACAAACAGTTAATCACTCAGCTACCAAGGCTAAAAGGTTGGCAGTTGGGATCCATCCAGTGGCTCCCTGGGAGAAAGACTAGGCAATCTGCTCCCGTAAAGATTTTAGCCTAGAAAACCCTATGGGGCTCTTGTACTCTTTCACATGCGCTTGCTATGAGTTACAATTGACTCAACAATATTCAACAGCAACAAGTAGCCGAAAAGTTGGCAGTTTGAACCCATCCAGGGATGCTTCAGAAGATAAGTCTAGTGATTTGTTTCCAAAAGGTCACAGCCCTGAAAACCATATGGAACAGTTCTACTCTGTACAAGGGGTCACCATGAGTTGGAATTTCCAATTCAATAGCAACTAACAACAATAAGCTCTAAGCTGGGGCAGACTGCCTACTTAAGGACCTTAACCTGGAGTATATGTGGGTCCTCCATAGGGTAGCATCTATTTAGGAGACTGGATTTTGGGTCCCTCTTGAAATAATCAGAACCCTCACCATTAGTCAGAATTGACTCGATGACAGTTGGTTTTAGAGCAGCCCTTAGAATCAGTTTACACCACTAAAACTTAAATCACACCCATTGCCATTGAGTTGATTCTGACTCATGGTGACCCTATAGAACAGAGAGGAACCATCCAATAGGGTTTCCAAGGCTGTAAATCTTTATGGAAACAGACTACATCATCTTTCTCCCATGAAGTGGCTGGTGGATTCTAACCACTGACCTATTGGTTAGCAGCTGAGTACTTTAACCACTATTTCACCAGGGCTCCTATTAAAACTACAGGCAGTCCTAATAGCTCTCAAGTAATCCTGGAATCTGCAGGTATAAAACAGAAGAGACCCATGACACCGAACAGTAAGTAAGCTTGTTGGCTGGGCCTTCTAGTGGCTCTTGGCACTGTGCTTTCTGGTACCGTTTATGTTAATATTATATGAGAATGAGCTTCCTGAACGTCCATGTGGATCCAAGCATTTCCTGGAAGTATGACTTCTCCTTAGTCCTTATGTTACCATGCATGGTACAGATGGGAGTAGGAGGTGGACAGCACTTCTACTGTCAATCAGCCAGGCAGACAGGTGGTCATCCTGAGTAAAAGGTCAGTGTTATAGTGGACAAGAAAGGAGGGACCAGCAATCAGGTGAACTAAGTAATTATGTGTAAGGTTTTCACGGAATTATCTTGAAGATTCAGACTTCTTTACCCTGGGCAATCTTAAATCCAAAAGAAATAGGGTCCTTAGATCAATGTATTCAGTTACCAAGGCCAGTAAAGTAGGATGGCCATTCCAATAGGGTGTGGACCAGCCATCTACTTCCTAGTCCAATTTTATTATCCCTTCAGCTCTAGTCTTGCTCCTGGAGGCCATGGTCATAATTCTGCCAAACTTTTAGGCATAAAGGTGATTCTCCTTAATTCAGCATCCAATGAATCTTAGCCCTTTCTAAGGCTATGACCCAGAAGGAAATAGAATACTCCTATTATTAACAGTAACAACAAAACTGTTGAATCCTTTGGCTTCCCACTGCTAAAGCCATAGCATATCCTTGGAAAGATGTATTATTAATTTAAAGGCCAACCCTTAAAAATAAACCATCAACTCCTATTGTTGCATCAAGTTTTCTCCAAATCACAGCCTGCCACCTCGATACACTGCTCCACCTGCCAGCCTCAGGAATCTTTCTTGGTCAGTCTGGCCTTGACTTTGTGCCTCAGGAAGGCTGCAGTGGCAGCACTGCATGCAGTCAAGAAAAAGAAGGAGAGGCAAGCTGTGTAGATGGACAGGGGACTGTGGCGCTGCAGGAAGATCTCCTGGCGCCCCTGGAAGTCCAAGAGGACAGCCTCCAGCTGGGACAGTGTGCAGATGGACAGAAAGGCATGGAAGATCTGATGCCCATGGCCTACGATGTCACAGGAGCCCGGGAAGTACTTCTCAGGCACAGGACAGGAGAAGAAGTAGGCGCTGACAAGGAAGAAGACAATCTGGAGGGTGTGGTACCAGGCTGCCTGCTCCTGGCAGCCAGTCAGGTGGCACAGGGCCACACGGTGTGCCACGGGGCTGATGTCTAGGACGAAAGCCAGCCCTGCCGGTACCACTTGACAGATCTTCCTCATGACTGGGTAAGGCCTCCGGTAACGGTACTTGGCGTAGCAACAACCAGCACAAGACAACCAGGCACAGAAAGCAGACGCTGGCAAGAAGAAAAGCCAGAACCGCTCATACCAGGCCTGGTTGGAGCTATAGAAGAAGTGGGCCAAGGCACTGCCATATTGGTAAACACTCACGCCAATGTAGTCTACAAAGTAGAAGGTGTAGTGGGAGAGCTCCGACTTGGACTGCAGCAGGTGGGCCAGAAGGCTACATGTGAGGTAACTGATTGAAGACAGGATATAAAGGAGCAGGGGCAGGGAATGGGGGGAGGACCATGGCAAGGCCTCAGTTTCAATAAAAGCCCAGAATCGCAAGAGGACAGCCAGAGCTGCCAGCAAGTGGGTCCAGACGTTGACCACCTCGTTGTGTTTCTGAAAGAGGCTGAAGAAGTAGTAGCGCCACTCATGGCCTGTGGGGCGGTAGCCGGTATAGATGTAAGGCTCGCGGAAAAGCTGGGGGACATCTGTCTCTGGGACGGTGCAAGGCATCTTGGGAAGCCCATCCTCGAGGATCTTGGGCAAGCGGCGCAGCTGCTGCCCACTTACGGACAAGGTGCTGAGGCGCTCCAAGATGGCGGTTGTCATGGCTGCAGCAGGCCCAGTAATCCAGCACAGTCGGGACAGAGAAGGGGATGCAATCTAAAGAAAGCAAGGTAAAATCAACAAAATGCAGTGAGAGAGGGATTGCACTAAGACAGGGAAGGAACTGCATGTATTCTAAATGAAACACAGCTTTCTAGTGCAATGGAGAAGGCAGGGGGCTGTGGATAGCATCCCTGGGCCTCATTTTCTTCATCTGTTGAATGATCAAGTTGGGGTGAAATTCTCTACTGCTAAAACATTCTGATTTTGACTACTATCTACAGTGAGAAGCAAAGTCACAACCTATAAAATGGGAATGTTAGTCACTCACTCTGGTTTTAATGATATCTAGTCTACCTTTAAAACCAGTTGCAGTCAACTCTGACTCATGGCAACCCCATGTGTGTTAGAGTAGAACTGTGCTCCATGGAGTTTTCAATGGGTGACTTACTATTATTATTGCAATACCATTTAAAAATTTTTTAATTGTGATTTGGGTGAAAGTTTACAGAGCAAATTCATTTTCCACACAACAGCTCACATATACTTTGTCTCATGACATTGACTGCAATTTCCCACAATGCAACAGTTCCCCTCTCACTTCCTCCCCATAGTTAACTCTTCCCTGTGTCCTTCCCTCCCATGCACTCCTGTCCCCTAAGCTATCTCCCTGTACATACACAGCCCTTCTATTCTCCCATGATTCATCTCTCCAAGGAGTGTTATCTACCTAATGTAAATGTTCAACTCATATGCTGAACATATGACATTGTTTGGCTGGAAGCCACAAGTGTGGGTTCAATTCCAGACCTGAAGGGCAGCTAGGGGCCATAGCCTCAGAGGTTCCACCAGGTTCTAGCAAACCAGCAAACCTGATTCCTGCCCCCCCACCCTGTTTTTAAAATAATTTTGAATTTTGTTGCATATTGTTCTCCCGCTCTATCCCGGATCTCCTACATAGATCCCTCTCTGGGTGGTTGACAGTGGTAGCCTGGTACCATCTAGTTTTTCTGGTCTCATAGTCATATGGGCTGAGGATCGCATGGTGTACCAGTCATTTGGACTAATTGTTTTCATGCATCTTTGGTTTCCTTCATTCTTTGTTCTGAATGAGGAGAGACCCATCATTGCATCTAGATGGCCACTTGCAAGCTTTAAGATTCCAGTCACTACTCCAATGGCTGATTTTTTTAAAAGTAGATCACCAGGTCTTTCTTTCAAGGTGTTTCTGGGTGGGCTCAAAAGTCGAACCTTTTGCTTAGCAGCAAACTTGTTAACTGTTTGCTCCACTCCCTGTAAAGATTTTAGGGTTTTCTGGATGTTATTAAAATAAAATCACTAAACTTGCTCTAAAACCATTAAACATTATAAAAAACTATATAGCATAGTGCCTAAGGCACTTGACTGCTAACCAGAAGGCTGGCAGTTCAAACCCACCAGCCACTCCTCAGAAGGAAGGTTGGGCAATCTACTTCCGTAGTGATACTGCTGGGAAACCCAAGGAGGGGTCGCTATGAGTCAGGTCCTACTCGATGGCACCTAACAACAACAACATATTAAAATATTAAAAATATAAATATTAATATTACTAATGATAGGCCTAGGGAGCTCTGGTGGCGTAGTGCCCAAGGCACTTGACTGCTAACCAGAAGTCTGGAGGTTCAAACCCACCAGCCTCTCCTCAGAAGGAAGGTTGGGCAAACTACTTCTATAGTATTACTGCCTCAGAAAGGCAGGGGTCACTATGAGTCAGGTCCAACTCAATGGCACATAACAACAACAATGACGACAGGTCCAAATTTCTTTAGTATCTAATCCAAAACTACCGACTAATTTCACTGGTAACTTGAAAATTTGAGAAAAACCACCAACTGAACCTCAAAATGAAGACAATCACATGATTTATCACTTAGGTTTGTAAGGACCAATGTATATTCTGGGGCATATATTAACATAAAACTAAAAGATGGCCTAACTTTAACATAAAACCTAACTACAAAGATAAACCAAAGATAGTTGCTGTCACTGTCTTAAAATTATGCTCTGGAAAATAAGTAGTCTTGGACTTGCTTTTCCTGGGTAACAACATGTGTACTCAGTGAATTTCAATCCTCAAAAATGTGTAACTTAAACTTGGAATTTCTAGATGAAGGATCAGGCAGATGAGGTCAGTGATAAATATTTTATAAAATGTATCATAAAATGGCACTTTTCCTAATTGTAAAATGGAAACATTAGCCACTTTGTTTTTATAAGGCTACCCTTAAAGGCTTCTGGGTTTTCCAGATGCTATTATATAATACGGCACATAACAACAACAACAATTAAATAGGAGTCCTGGTGGCCCAATGGTAAGTGCTTTGTTGCTAACCGAAAGGCTGACAGTTTGAACCCACCCAATGGCTCCTCAGGAGAAAGATGTGGCATTCAGCTCCTTACAGGAGCCGTCAAGTTGGATCTGACTCATAGTGACCCCTCCTTGAGTTTCTGAGGCAGTATCACTACAGAAGGAGATTGCCCAACCTTCCTTCTGAGGAGTGGCTGGTGGGTTTGAACCGCCAGCCTTATGGTTAGCAGTCAAGTGCCTTAGGCACTACGCTACCAGAGCTCCCTAGGCCTAGCGTTAGTAATATTAATATTTATAATTTTTATATTTTAATATAGTTTTTTGTAATGTTTAATGATATTAGAGCAAGTTTAAAGATTACAGCCTAAGAATACCTGTGGGGCAGTTCTACTTTGTCACATGGGGTTATTATGAGTTGAAATCAACTTGATGACACCTAACAATAACAAGATATTATTAAATATCATTGTTAAACTGAAGCTCATAACATGAAATACTATATTAAATAAAAGCATGTAAATACTATGCATATTGATATCACTAATGATAGCATATATTTCTTTAGCATCTAATACTATTCTACCCAGTAATTTCATTGGTAATTTGAAAATGTGAGATAAGTAATCAACTGAACCTCAAAAATAAGCAAATGATTTATCAATTAGGTTGGAAAAGAATAATTGGGTTGGTGAAGTCAATGTTCAGTGAATATTTCTGGGATGGTTTAAGACATACAAAAGTAACACATGTGCTAAATTAGTTTTACTATAAAATATAATTACAAAGGTTGGTGTTTTTTATTAAGCTCTGAAAAATAAGTCAGTCTAGACTTGCTTCTCCTCAGTAACTAACTTTGTATGGCATACTTCGTTTTACTGCGCTTTGCAGATACTGCATTTTTCACAAATTAGCCTATTGATGCCATTTTACAACAGCATGTATTCACTCTGTGTCTCTGTGTCATGTTTTAGGAATTCTCACAATATTTCAAACTTCTTCACAATGCTATTGCACACTTAATAGACTTCAGTATAGTGTAAAGGTAATTTTCATATGCACTGGGAAATAAAATTTGTGTGACTAGCTTTATTGCAATATTTGCTTTATTGTGGTGGTCTGGAACCAAACCCACAATATTTCTGAGGTATGCCTACATTCTAAGAATCTCAAACCTCAAAAATCTTTAACTTTCAACTGGAATTAGATGAACAGAGTGATTATTACATAAAATATTTCCTAAAATGGCTGTAAAATTTCATGTGACATTACAGGGAAAAGAAATTTATTTTCAGCCTATCAACAGTTGCCTCTCCTACTTTTTATTTACCAAGCTTTTTTCCTCAGAAAAGTTCAAAATTTAATTGATCTCAATGGCTCTCTTTGACTAGGAGAGAGACAGCAAGCACTGCTCAAGACACTACTAATTTTAGGGAAGAAAATTTCATCTTTTTTTTTTTTTTTTTTTTTTGGTGGTGAAGACATACACAACAAGACATTTGCCACATAAGAACCTTCCCATTTATAGCTCAGGGACATTGGTGACACTTTTCATGTTGTGCCACCATTATTGCCATCTACAGAAGAAAATTTAATCTTAATATTAAAAAAGAATAAAGTATCTAATCAGGTAAAAAATGTAGGGCATGAAATTAACAGATTATAAAAGAAGTTCACAGAGATCTGGAGTCAACCCTTGACTTTGCTACTTACTGGGTGTGATAGTTAGAGTTGTGTGTCAATTGACTGGACCACAATTCTGAATGGTTTAAGCAGTTGTGATGTGGGTTATTCCCATGATGAGATTGGATAAGCCAAACCATTGAAAGGGAGTTTCCCTAGGGGTGTAGCCTACTTCCGATATATTTATAGACATCCTGGGAAAAAGAGACCACTCTTCTGTGGATTGGGATCCTGTTGTGGTGCCTACAACTGTCCATGAGTGAACAATCCACCATTTGGGCCAGAGATCTTGGATTCATCATTTGTTGGAGTCAACAGCTGGTATATTGCCTGCCAAACTTGAGCTCATCAGCCCCTGCAACTATGTGAGTAGGGAAAAGCTTGACATTTGATCCAAGAACTTGGGACTTGCCAGCTTCTATAAGTGTCTGAGCCATTTTCCTAAGATAAATTTCTCTTTCTCTATATGTATATATAAGCTTATTGGTTTTGATTCACTAGAGAACCCAGCCTAACACATCTGGTACCAGGAATGGTTCTAGAGAGACAAAAATCATAAGGATGGGCTTCCTAAATTGTTTCTCACCAATTCTGTTTTGGTTCTTCAATTGGATTAATCATAAAGGCACTGGTGACCCTGCCTCTATTAGTAAAGAGGGCCCTGCTAATCTGTTGTGTGAGGAGGCAACATTAATATGCAAAATAGCACCACCAATAGATCAAGTACTTTTGAGAAGTGAGGCTCTCACTTCAAAATATTTGATACTTCTCTGCAATTTTGTCAGCATGAGGATATAAGGAAGCTGGTTGGTTGGTCCTACTTACACTAGACAAAATGGTGAAAGAGTGAAATGAGTTTACGGCTGCTGAGTCAGCTCAAGTGCTGCACAAAAGACCTCAATGTTTCTAGTTGTGCTCTGAAAGAAAGCCTTATTTCTTCTAGTAACAGCTGATATGCTGAAAACCAAACCCAGAGTCTTATTGTAAGGGTGGCTGAATTACAATGCCAATTAAATTGCCAACCC